TCTCAGGAACAGTCTTTGCAATGGTTCGCACCTGTATTAGACCCAATTTTTTTTAAAGATTATATTGGGGCATTGGGGAAGGGGAACAGACAAGTTGCTGTCCTTTTGTTCTTCAGTCTAGTTGTGGAGGGCGTCGCTTCACTGCCCATGTTGGTATTATCATTGCGCTCTTCCCTGGTGAGGCAGATCAGTCACTGGCCACTGGACGGCCGCTCATGACAGCTCTTGGCAGCTCACTCTGGCTACCGGCCGCTCACACCGGCTGCCAGACACTCACAGTAGCTTATGGCAGTCCACTGCAGCGTCACTGCAGCCTACGCCTCCAACATATGTGCTCTCTCCTGTCTTAGGGCATTTGGGGACATTGTACTGCCCCCTGTCTCGAATACTTTTCCAGCTTTTTGCCAAGCTGATGGATGCCAACTCACCCTGTAGAATTGAGCTTCCTCAGAGAAGCCTTACCCCCACTTCTGGCTCAGCCCAGCAACCCTGTTAACACACCCCTGAAGCACACTGTACTTCAACTTCAAAGCACTTTTCAGACTTGTAGTTAGTTGATTAGTTATTTGTCATTCACATATTCATATGACAAATTTTAGTGAATGTCTTCTATGTACTGGGTACTACTGTAGACATAGTGCAATCAGCAGTGAGTCTAACAAAGTCCCTGCCCTCGTGGAGTTTACGCTCAGTGGAAAATAATATTTTCGGGCCGGCCGAGCAGCTCAGTTGGTTCAGAGTTAGCGTAAGAGCATGTGCTCTGAGCAACACAGCTGCCGGCTCAATTCCCACATGAACCTGTGACTCTGTGCCTGAGTTGAGCTGCCACTGAGCTGCCAACAGGTGGCAGGATGGCTCAGCTGGTGAGAGCACATGCCCCTAACAACAAGATTGCCTGTTCGATGGTGGGCTTCGCCCTCCTGCAACTAAGACTGAACTCTGCATCTTGAGTTGAGCTGCCGCCTGGATGGCTGACTCACAGCAGCCCAGCCCCAGGTCAAGCTGTTGTTCACCATCTTAGCTGTAGAGGGCGCAGCGTCAGTGGCCCTCATGTGGGATCCGAACTGGGGCCCTGCTGCTCAGAGCTGGTGTCCCAAGCCAACTCTTTTTTCTGTTTTTTTTTGTTTGTTTGTTTTTAAAAAGATTATATTGGGGCACTGGGGGAGGGGAACAGCATTGAGGAATCAATCAGGGAAAGGGAACAGACAAGTTGCTGTCCTTTTATTCTTCAGTCTAGTTGTGGAGGACTTCGTTTCACTGGCCCATGTTGGTATTATCATTGCTGTCTTCCCGGGTGAGGCAGATCGGTCACCAGCCACTGGACGGCCGCTCACGGCGGCTCTTGGCAGCTCATGCTGGCTGCTGGCCACTCATGGTAGCTTATGGAAGCCCACTGCAGCTTCAGTGCAGCTTATGCCGTCGCCAGCGACTCACGGCAGCCCAGCTCCAGGTCGAGCTGTTGTTCACCATCTTAGCTGTAGAGGGCGCAGCGTCTCTGGCCCTAATGTGGGATCTGAACTGGGGCCCTGCTGCTCAGAGCTGGCGTCCCAAGCCAACTCTTAACCAACGCACCACTTTGCTGGCCCTAGACCCCATTTTTTATAACATATTTTGTAATGCCCCTTTGACTATCCTGAAATAAAGTTCATAGATGATGAAATATACCTACAGTCATAATTTTAAAAATATCAATATGTAAGATAAAAGAGAATAAAAGTACTTAAAAATAAAATGCTAGTATTTCAGTATATAAAATGCTTGCTTAGATGTGACCACATTTGATGACAGAATGAAGTAGTTAGTACATAATCATCATGACTGTAACAGCTACAAGTGCAGATTGTTACAAGGATGTTGTATTGGTGACCTAAACACCCTGGTTGGCGTTATTGTCAGTCACATGGTCTTTTAAAACCATGACTCGCTCTTCATAGAGTTCTGGGCTAAATAAAGTAGTTCTTTTCTCAGTTTTCCTACATTCCTATATTATTATACTTATAGAAAAGCACCTTCTCTTTATGTGTAAAATAGAGTTAGGGTCTAGACTCAGGTAATTATAAATACCGGGGGTGCCAAAAAAAAATGTATACACATGACTTCTATTCGTCTTTTATTATCGGTATATATTGAGTATTACAATTTTAATACAGTTTTTTCCTTTCTTAAAATGTGTATAACTATTTTGGCACCCTCTTAGTTTTTTCACCCATGTGAATATTTGGTAGGATGTTCAAAATTTCATGGGTCAATTCTTCATTGATTGAGACCATCCCACCCATTATGAGATGCTTAGTATCCCTTGGCCTTGCCTGTGAATACTAATAGTGTCCTGAAGTGAACCAGAAACTCCCCCACAGAGTTCTAAAACATTCTGAGGGGAGGCGTGGGGAGTGACTGTCCCCATTGAGATTCATCGTTTTAGTGTTATTATACACTGTATTTGTTATAGAGATTTAATTTCTATGGTTTTATGAGAAAAGTTCTTTGATAGCATTACCACTCAATTTTTAAAAGATTTTCGTAAACTTGGAATCATATTTGATTTCTTCATCTTTCATATCTAATCAGTTTATCTACACTTAATTGAATTTTGAATTAAGATCATACTGTGATTGAAAACAACCTTAGACTTTGCAGACTGATATTAGTTTGAAGAATGTTTGTTTCTAGTCTGCAGTAAGACGAGCACAGAAGGTGTGAGTAAATGCTTGAAAACTTTTATAGCAATTGGAAATTGCCATGCCATCCAAGTGCATGATTTTTGTATTTTTCAGAAATATCAGTTTGCCATAGTAGAGATACAAAAATCGTTCTTCACCATACATTTTCTGAGAAGCAGGGAAATAAACAGTAATTTTTGAACCTTTCATCAAACCAAAGCTTATGTGGAAGCACAATGTGTAAAATACATGCACGTGGAGCTCTCTTTGGAACTTGTCTGGGCCTGGAGACCCCAGCCTCCCACAGTGGCCCCTCAGTGCCACCACGAACCTCCTAGGGCTTTCAGAGCACAGTATGAAACCTGCTGGTTTATAGAGACCAACACACTGTTACTACTAATAATATTAGGGCTTCATTTATATCCCGTTACAGAAAAGGGGTAATTTTTCCTACTGTATATCTTTTAAATTGTTATAAAAGAGACCAAACAACCTCCAAAACCCCAACTAAATCTAAAATCTACACCTGGAATTTGGCGTGTCTGCACTTGTGATGTTTGTCTTTGGGATTGTTTTTTTTTGTTGTTGTTTTTTTAAAGATTTTATTGGGGAATTGGGGAAGGGGAACAATGTCGGGGAACTGGGGAAGGGGAACAGCCAAGTTGTTGTCCTTCAATCTTAGTTGCACAGCTAGCTCAGCTCCAAGTCCAGTTGCCATCTGGCTGCCCATGGGCAGCTCGCGGCTGCTCAGTTCAAGGTGCTGTATTCAATCTTAGTTACGGGTAGGCATAGCCCACCATCCCATGTGGGTGTCGAACCAGCAACCTTGTTGTTAATCGTGCACACTCTAACCACTGAGCCATCCTGCCGCCTGTTGGCAGCTTAGGTGCAGCTCACTGGCCCATGTGGGAATTGAACCAGTGACCCTGTTCCTCAGAGCTTGCGCTCTTAACCAACTGAGCCACTCGGCCAGCCCTGGGATTGTTTTTTAAACTTTGGCTTGTCAGCTTTGTCTGTGAGGTCTTACTGCCTGTGGGATGGCTCTCCCCACTGCCAGCCGCAGGCCTCTGTCTCAGTTTCACTTTATTGTGCTGCCTGGGGGAGGTGACCTCCAGAGCCTTCCAAAGTGAATTTTGTATTTCTACCACCATCTGTATTTTATATACACCTATCCCAAATAAAGCCTTCAATAAATAAATCTTCTCATAAGGTTACTCACAGAAAGGTAATGTTTTTACCCGGATGCCATATATCTGAGTATTTTACTCAACTGCTTGATATCCTCTAGTGGCTTCAAACTGCTGTGAAGACCAACAGCAGCTGAATCTTACCTCTTCCTACTTCTGCAGCCAAATACCCCATCGGCTTCCCCACTGCTGCTTACTCTTCCCAGCCACCATGGCTTTGTTCGTTTCTTTTTCTAAGTGCCTCGTGTTTTCCCATTCAGGATCCTTACATGTACTCTCTTTGTACTTCCTGTTTCTTTAAGTCTTAGCTTAAACGTTATCTTCGGGGAATCCTGGCTCTGCTTCACTGGCTTAAGTCTTCCTACAATGTATTCTTATACTGTCCTGTGTTTTTGTTTTTTTTTTTAAAGATTTTATTGGGGAATTGGGGAAGGGAACAGCGTTGGGGAATCTGGGAAGGGGAACAGACAAGTTGCTGTCCTTTTGTTCTTCAGTCTAGTTGTGGAGGATTTTGCTACACTGGCCTATGTTGGTATTATCATTGTGCTCTTCCCAGATGAGGCAGTCGCTCGCCAGTCATTGGATGGCCGCTCATGGCAGCTCACGGCAGCTCATGCTGACTGCCGGCCACTCACAGTAGCTTAGGGCAGCCCACTGCAGCCCCACTGCAGCCTACACCGTCGCTGGCGACTCACAGCAGCCCAGGTCCAGGTTGAGCTGTTGTTCACCATCTTAGCTGTAGAGGGTGCAGTGTCACTGGCCCATGTGGGATCCCAACCAGTGGCCCTTACTGCTCAGAGCTCGCACTCCCAAGCCAACTTTTAACCAACGCACCACTCGGCCGGCCCTATCCTATATTTTTTTAATTCATGGCATTATCACAAATTAAAATAGCTTTTGCGTGTTCCCCCTATAGATTTGTATGTTCCCCCTATAGATTTTTACCTCCACAAGTGTAGAGACTGTCTACTTGTTCAGCATTGTGTATTCACTACCTAGCAGTGTCACATAGTAGATGTTTCAGTAAAGAACATTTATTTATACATTATTTATATACAGTAGATGTTTAATAAACAACACAGTAGATGTTCAATAAATAGCTGTGGAAGAATTATGGATATATGTGTAAATTCTTGTGATTTTTTTTTTTCAGGTTAAAGAAAGACCTGATGTGGGAGTTTATATCAAAGATTTATCAGCTTACGTGGTAAATAATGCTGATGATATGGATAGAATTATGACACTAGGCCACAAAAATCGTAAGTGTAGTGCATAATTGTGATTAAACATTTATGTGTTGAGTAGGCTGGTTTAGAAGCAAAACTGGGGTGGCACTTTGTTCCATAAAGAGTAGATTTTTTAGGTTTCTTGAAAACCCTTCCTCTTTGATTATTTACTGTGTAGAGAGCATATACGAATGAAAGATATCACAGATTGCTTTCTGTGCTGACCAAAATTTTGTTTCTTAGTAATAGTGCTATAACTATATTATTTGGTAACATTTATTGAACACTTACTATGTGGTGAGTGCTTGTGCCGAGTGCTTTATAACAGTGATCTCTTTTAATCCTCACAATAGTCTATGACAGTATTAAATTCCTATTTTATGATTGAGGAAATCAAGAGTTAATTTAAATAAGTTGTCCACTGTTATATACTACTTCATAAGTGGCAGAGTGAATATTTTAACCTAGGTCATGAACCAGCATAACCAGGCACTATATTGCTTCCCTTTTGTTGACAAGAGAAACAAAACAAAAATGAAATAAAATGGTATTTTAATTCTTGTTTCAGGTTTTGTGTAAAGAGTAAAGAACTTCAGCAATATTTAATGCACAGATGCCCCAGGCCTTGTACTAGCGATGTTGCTAACAGCAATAGATTAGAAGTAAAAGATAAGAACATAGGCTGTAAACATTTTTTTAAAAAGTTTTCATGACTAGACTATAAATCAAGCAAACTCAAGGAAATTAAACAATTTTTTAAAAGTCAATTGCATTCTTATAAACCAAGTAGTAGAAAGAAAAAGACCAAATTTTAACAGGAAAATGAGCAAAAAATATGTAGAAATATGTTATTCCCAGAAGAACTATACGCAGCAATAAACACATGAAAGGATGTTCAACTTCACAACATCCACGGTTTGGATGAAAAGATATCCACGTTGCTGAGGCTCTGAAGAAATGGGCACTTACATTGGGAACATAAAATGGTATAGCCTTTTTTGAAGGGCAGTGTAACAGTATATGTTGAAATTTTTAAAATGCATTCCTTTAGACACAGTGCTTTTAATTCAAGGAAAAAAATATATATGTATAAAGAAATTTTATTGGGGAACAGTGTGTTTTTCCAGTACCCATCAGCTCGTCAAATAGTTGTCTTCAGTGTAGTTGTGGAAGGTGTAGCCCACCATTCCATGTGGGAGTCGAACCGGCAACCTTGTTGTTCAGAGCATGTGCACTAACCAACTGAGCCACCTGGCCGCCCCTAGTGTGGGGGGGGGAAATTATATATATATTTATATATATTTTATTGGGGAATTGGGGAAGGGGAACAGCCAAGTTGTTGACCTTCAATCTTAGTTGTGGAGGGCGCAGCTAGCTCAGCTCTAAGTTCATTCGCCATCCAGCCACCCATTGGCAGCTCAGGGCCGCTCAGCTCAAGGTGCCATGTTCAATCTTAGTTGCGGGTGGGCGTAGCCACCATCTCATGCGGAAGTCGAACCGGCTTCCTTGTTGTTACGAGCATGTGCTCTTACCAGCTGAGCCATCCTGTCACCTGTTGGCAGCTCAGCAGCAGCTCAGCTCGGGCACAGCTCACTGGCCCATGTGGGAATCCGACGGGGCACCATGTTGCTCAGAGCTTGCACTCTTAACCAACTGAGCCACTCGCCTGGCTCGAAAAATATTTTTAAGTGTAAACAAAAAAATGCCTTATTGAAACATTATTTGTAATAGGAAAAAGTTTGATAAAACCTAAATAACTATAAATAAAACATTGGTTATATAAATTATGGTACAGACATTCCAGGGACCAAATGAAGCTCTGAAAAAAAAAAATGAGTTAGGGCAGGCCTAGTGGCTCGTTGGTTAATAGCTGGCTTGGGACGCCAGAGGGCCCTGTTTCAAATCCCACATATGAGGTCCAGTGACACTGCCCTCTACAGCTAAGATGCTGAACAACAGCTCAACCTGGAGCTGGGCTGCCGTGAGTCGCTGGCGACGGTGTAGGCTGCAGCCCTTGCTGCAGTGGGTTGTCATGGGCTACTGTGTGTAGCCAGCAGCCAGTGTGAGCGGCTGTCCAGAAGCCGGTGACTGATCTGCCTCGCCAGGGAAGAGCGCAATGATGGTGCCAACTTGGGCCAATGAAGCAACATCCTCCACAACTAGACTGAAGAACAAAAGGACAGCAACTTGTCTGTTCCCCTTCCCCCAATTCCCCAGCGCTGTTCTCATCCCCCAATTCCCCAATAAAAATCTTTAAAAAAAAAAAAAAAGAGTTAAATCTACATGTAGAGACCTGAAAGATTTTCAAGATATATCGTTAAATGAAAAGAAAGCAAATTACAGAACAGTATGTACTGTATCATTTAATTTATATATGTGTAAAAAAGCCAAATTATTAAACCATGTATTTGGGCATTGTGTGTTTGTGTCCACATGAAAGGACATTTAATAATGGTTACCTTTAGGGATGGGGAAGTAAGACTGGGGAAAAGTGATGTAGGGAGATTTTTATTTTTTTTTATATGTATTTAAAAATGTTTTTATACCAGGAATATGTTTATGTATTGCTTATTTAATTGAAAACATTTTTAAACGAAGATCCTATTCACAGTAGTGACTAAAACCTTCTATTAACTACCTAACAATTAATTTAACTTGGTATGTGACATTTGTTCAAGGAAAACTAAAAAATTCTGATTAGAAAAGTGAAATGAAACAAAGGTAAAGGGATTTGGAAACCTAAGATAGCAGAGAGGAAAATACTCTTAATAAGCAGATTGAGTCCAAGAATTATGTAGTACAAATATCTAAGTAGAAAAGTTCCAACATGAAAATATAAGCTTTATCATATTGAAATATAGTAAAATAACTATCAAAAGGAAAATAGCAGAGGGGGAAATTTGACAATAAAAACTGCTATCCCAAATAGATGAAAAATTGATACAAATACAAAATTAGTAACCATTGTGTACAGGTGGTCATAGTATAGAAATGGTTATTTTTCCACTGGTTATTTTTCCACTTAAGAAAATAAGTCAGCCATCTCACGAACAAATACACAGACTTTCTAGCAACTAAAATGCACATTTAAACTAGTCAGGTACATTTACATCATGGGCATCATCATTGTAAATTGGTCAATATTTACTCAGACTAGTGTTTTTCAGCCTTTAAACCATAACCTTTTTTAAAAAAGCATTTTTTAAAATAGGTAATCTATACACATGGTATACATTTCAAAAGGCACAGAAGTATACATTGAAAAACAAATCTTTCTCCTGCCCTTGTGTCTCGCCTGTTCTCAACTCTGGTGGCAACCTCTGTTAGTTTCTAATGTGCCCTTTCTGATAGTCTGTGCGCACGCATGGGTGTTTTTAGAGAGAGTGCTTGTCTCCTTTCTTTATGAAGCAGATAATAGTATACTTTATTCACTTAATGATATTATCTTAGCAATCATTTCACATGAACACATACTAGTACATATAAAAGTATTTTTAGATAATTACATAGTATTTCATTGGAAGGATCTGTGTAATTTCCCAATCTTTTTGTTTTTTTAAAGATTTTTATTGGAGAATTGGGGGGATGGGAACAGCGCTGGGGAATTGGGGGAAGGGGAACAGACAAGTTACTGTCCTTTTGTTCTTCAGTCTAGTTGTGGAGGACGTTGCCTCACTGGCCCAATTTGGCACCATCATTGAGCTCTTCCCGGGCGAGGCAGATCAGCTGCCGGCCTCTGGATGGCCGCTCACTGCGGCTGCTGGCCACTCACTCTGGCTGATGGCCACATATGGCAGCCCATGGCAACCCACTGCCACAGGGGCTGCAGCCTACGCCGTCACCGGCGACTCACGGCAGCCCAGCTCCAGGCCGAGCCGTTGTCCAGCATCTCAGCTGCGAAGGGCAGTGTCACCGGCCCTCATATGTGAGATCCGAACCGGGGCCCTCTGGTGTCCCAAGCCAGCTCTTAAGCATCGCGCCACTCGGCCGGCCCTACCCAATCTTTTATTGATGGACTGTGGGTTGTTTTCAGTCTTGCTATATGAGCAATACTGCAATACATTTTTTTTTTTTAAAGATTTTATTGGGGGAGTTGGGGGAGGGGAACAGTGCTGGGGAATCAGGGGAAGGGGAACAGACAAGTTGCTGTCCTTTTGTTCTTCAGTCTAGTTGTAGAGGACGTTGCTTCACTGGCCCATGTTGGTTTTATCATTGCGCTCTTCCCAGGTGAGGCAGATCGGTCGCTGGCCTCTGGACGGCTCATGCCAGCTGCCGGCCACTCAACGCCGGCTGCTGGCCACACACTGTAGCTTATGGCAGCCCACTGCAGCAGAGGCTGCAGCGTAGCCATTGCCGGCGACTCATGGCGACTCCAGGTTGAGCTGTTGTTCACCATCTTAGCTGTAGAGGGCAGTGTCACTGGCCCTCATGTGGGATCCGAACCGGGGTCCTGCTGCTTAGAACTGGCGTCCCAAGCCAGCTCTTAACCAACGCGCCACTCAGCTGGCCCAAATTTTCTTATATATACTTGAACTTATACACATGCAGGTATATTTATAGGATCAATTTTTCCATACCCTTTTAAAAGACATAAAAGTCTAATTATTTTAAATTTCAAAATAAGTATTTAACAAAAATTAAAGCTACGGATATGTTATTTCCATTATGTGATATGTCAGTAGGTTACAGCATTGAGTATACTTGATTGCTATAAGCTGTTCTCTTCTAGGGATTGTAGTGTTCAATATAGGTCAGTTTTAATAGCAGGTCTGTTGCATTTCTTTGTTTTCATAACCAAAAATACAGAAGAATCACAATTATGAATAGCGTGCTTTACTTGCATTACAAAAACAGTGGGTATTAAAATATTTAATATGATTTTTTCAAATTACACGTTCTCTCCTCCTCCAAATTGGAAAACACTGCTACAGTATGATTTGATAATCACATAGCTGTAAAACGATTCCTACCCTTTGACCTAATAATTCCATTTAGAAAATATATCCCATGGAAATAATCCCAAAGAGAAAGAAAGGTGTCTGCTCAAAGATGCTCATATTAGCATTCCTTATGAGGACCCCAAATGGGAAATAATCCCAAATACCTCTCAATAAGGGAATAGCAAAATCAGGGCTTAATAGTTTTTTTATATTTTTTGGGAAATTTTCATAAATTCATAGTTTGATTTTAAAGGAAATAGAGAAAAATAGTATGATGTTACAAATCCTTGCATTTTCTTTCACGAATTTTTCATTTTTTCATCAGGCTTTACTTTTCTTTGTGCAATTTACATTCTAGTTATCTGACTTCTAGTGTAGCCATATGCTAATAAAGAGTACCTTGCAATGTTTCCATTGTCCAATCAAAGCTCTCATGGACAAGTTCTGCATGAATGTATAGCAGGAAGATAATTTTGGCTTGTGTAAAATTAACATAATGCTTTTGAAGAATTTAAGGAAAAAACAAACCCACACATGCTTATTATAAAAAACAAAACAGACCTTTTTCTTTGTTTACACAATATATTCATGTAAAATATTTATACACACAAATACTTAGTATATTTTGAATGGATGCTTTTGTTTTATAGAAATGGGATTATACTATATATTCTTTTTTATTTTCAGCCATATGCTATGGATATCTTTCCATGTCATACAGATCTACCTTATTTTTTTAAAGGACTGGTTAGTAATCCACAGTATAACTAGTCTATAATTGATTAACCATTGTGCTGTCAGTTGTTTCTGATTTATTGTTTTTGCGAGCAATGCTGCACTGAATTAAATATCCTTCATCATCTAATGCATATATGCAAGTATTTCTGTGGCTTAGATTCCCAGAACATAATACTTTTTATTTATTTTTTTATTATTTATTTATTTATTTTTTAAAAAAGATATTTATTGGGGAATTGGGGGAAGGGGAACAGACAAGTTGCTGTCCTTTTGTTCTTCAGTCTAGTTGTGGAGGACGTTGCTTCACTGGCGCAAGTTGGCACCATCATTGCACTCTTCCCGGGTGAGGCAGATCAGTCGCCGGCTTCTGGACGGCCGCTCACTGCGGCTGCTGGCCGCTCACGCTGGCTGCTGGCTACACACGGTAGCCCATGGCAACCCACTGCCACAGAGGCTGCAGCCTACGCTGTCGCCGGCGACTCATGGCAGCCCAGCTCCAGGTTGAGCTGTTGTTCAGCATCTTAGCTGTAGAGGGCAGTGTCACTGGCCCTCATATGTGGGATCCAAACTGGGGCCCTCTGGCATCCTAAGCCAGTTCTTAACCATTGCACCACTCAGCCGGCCCCCATAATACTTTTTAGAGACAGCTGAAACAGCAATAATTTTTCAAATTATTTAACATCTTGTTTTTTATGAATTAGTTAAATTTTTTTAGCCAGTAATATTGGGATTAAAGTTAAGTATTTTGTCCTAAAATTAACCTCTTTGATATGAGAAACATTATAAATTCTTTTGTTATCAACATAAATTGTCAGAGAAATTTCTAATAATGGCTAAACACACCTGTGCTTTTATGGTTTAACTATGCTCTCTGGTGTTTGGCTGAGATGAAATTAAGTATTTTAAACAATTTTGGATATTTAATAATTTTTAAAGGTACTCTGTTATTATGCTTTTTAAGAATTTCCTCCCTTTATTCGAGGTTCTGTTGGTGCAACTAACATGAATGAACATAGTTCTCGCTCCCATGCCATCTTTACGATTACTATAGAATGCAGCGAGAAAGGTGTCGATGGCAACATGCACGTCAGGATGGGGAAGCTCCACCTTGTAGATCTTGCTGTAAGTAACGGTACTACTTACGGAGTAACTCTTGGGATTTTTTAATTTTATAAATGAATAAAAATTGAAGTGAAAAGGTTGAATTACATATGGTTTTAAAGTTGTTAACTTCTTTATGTGTTTAACTTATTATGGAATATTTCAAAACTATACAAAAGTAGATAGAATAGTATAATCTCTCATGTAACCATCATCCAGCTTCAACAGTTATTGGTTCATGGCCAGTCCTGTTTCATCCCTACCCTCATCTGCTTCCCTTCCTGTATTATTTTGAAATGAATTCTAGATAATGTGTCAGGTATTTTACTGTTAAATTAGTTTTTATAAGCTATGGAGAGAATATTTCATATTTTAAATTTAGATTTATCTCTTGGTTTATTGCTAGGGGTCAGAAAGACAAGCAAAAACTGGAGCTACTGGACAGCGCCTGAAGGAAGCTACAAAAATCAACCTTTCACTTTCCACCCTTGGCAATGTAATTTCTGCCTTGGTTGATGGAAAAAGCACTCATGTGCCTTATCGTAACTCTAAATTGACGCGTCTTCTTCAGGATTCCTTGGGAGGAAATTCAAAAACCATGATGGTGAGACTTAGTTGGTGGCATAGCTATCATCAGGCAAATTTAAGATTCCTGTTTATCCCAGTAATTGGTATGCGTAACATTTTAAAAAGTATGGATTATTTTGTTTGATTTGTGGCTATTCTTTTTCTAGTACACCATGTGTGCTAACTAACCTATATGGTTTTGTTTGGAAACCCACATGGTGGTGCTCTCTTTTTGAAGAAGGCCAGAGTTGAAGTAGGCTTCAAAGATTCTTTTTTTGTTTTTTGTTTTTTAAATTGGGGTTTGGGGGAGTAGAACAGTGTTGGGAATTGGGGAAGGGGACCAGCCAAGTTGTTGTTCTGTGGAGGGCGCAGCAAGCTCAGCTCCAAGTCCAGTCGCCATCTGGCTGCCCGTCGGCAGCTCGTAGCCTCTAAGCGCAAGGTGTTGTGTTCAATCTTAGTTGCGGGTGGGCATAGCCACCATCCCATGCAGGAGTCGAACCAGCAGCCTTGTTGTTAAGAGTGCACGCTCTATCCACTGAGCCATCCGGGTGGCAGCTCAGCTCAAGGTGCTGAGTTCAGTCTTAGTTGTGGGCGGGCGTAGCCCACCATTGAACAGGCAGTCTTGTTGTTAGGAGCATGTGCTCTCACCCGTTGAGCCACCTTGCCACCTGTTGGCAGCTCAGCGGCAGCTCAGCTCCAGCGCAGCTCACTGGCCCATGTGGGAATCGAACTGGTGGCCCTGTTGCTCAGAGCTCACGCTCTTAAGCTAACACTTAACCAACTGAGCCACTTGGCTGGTTCCAAAGAGTCTTTTTGATATCTTAGTAATGGTAGTATTAATTTCAACTGTGTCAGGTGTTAAAATGTTTTCCTTTGTATTCCTTATTCAACAGTGTGCAAATATTGGGCCAGCAGATTACAATTATGATGAAACTATCAGTACATTACGGTATGCTAACCGTGCTAAGAATATTAAAAATAAAGCTAGAATTAATGAAGATCCAAAGGATGCTTTGCTTCGTCAATTTCAGAAAGAAATAGAAGAACTGAAGAAAAAGCTTGAAGAAGGTAACTTTCTTCAAAGTATTGATCTTAATGTTGGCTAAAAATATGCTGCTTAACCACTGAGTTTTCTAATAAATACCACCTATTAGAAATTCCCCAGCCTCTAACACTGATATTTAAAGGAATATTTCTGCTTGGTAATTTGATACTTATGTAAGTATCAAGTATGCTATGAGCTTAACATTTTTATATTAAGCTCAAGTAAAATTACATAATATTTGTGTATACAATTAAAAAAATTCATTTAATTTAAACATCCATCTTAATTCCCATGACATTGTGTAGATTTAATATGACCACATATTAAATAATGAATTTTTATTTGTCTCTGTATAAAGAGCGTGTTCTACCATATATGTATTATGGTATCTATGACCAGAGTTCTCTGTGATAGATATCAGTCACTATTGTTTGACGTAAAGAAAACCATCACAGTCATGGGTACACCAAGTTTAAGTCAAAATTCATTGCATGGCCTTGAAAATATGCCTTCATACTTAACTTTGAACATGAGATTCTCTTTCAGAAATTCTTTTCTACCAAGATATTGTTAGAAGGTTAGAAAGTTTGAAGACGTTGTTCATGAGGGTGAGAAACTCACCAACCATCATTAAGTGCCCAGTGACCCCCTGTACCTCACACTAAGAACTGATTGGCATAAGGCTCCTCTGCATACCACGTAAACAGAAGGCTTTGATACTGACTCTTTTCTCAGTGGGGAAACTGGTTAGATCTGATGTCAAATCCAGAGATGCCAACATCACAAACTTTTGGAGAAGGTGATGATTCAGTAAACTTGAGTAAGATTACTGAGGAAAAGCAGTGTATTGCGCTGCCTCTTAGACAATGAAATTTGGTGTTTTAAATGTGACCACTAGGTGGTATTTATAGTCAGTATGTTTTAGAGATTTAAAATTCCTTAGGTTTGTTAATGTTGAGTTCATACCTTTATCTTGCTGACTTAAATGTTTTTACATTTTTTATTGTGATAAAATATACATAACATAAAATTGACTATGTTAACTATTTTTAAGTGTACAGTTCTGTGACATTAAGTATGTTCACATTGTTGTGCAACCATCATCATCATCCATCTCCAGAATTTTTTCATCTTTCCCAAATGAAACTCTGTACCCATTGAACACTAACTCCCCACCCACCACTCTCCTGTAGCCCCTGGTAACCACTATTCTACTTTCTATCTCTATGAATTTGACTATTCTAGGTATCTCATACAGGTAAAATCATATAATATGTGTCCTTTTGCATCTGTCTTATTTCATTTAGCACAATGCCCTTGAGGTTCATCTGTATTGCAGCATGTGTCAGAATTTCCTTCCTTCTAAAGGCTTAATAATATTCTAGTGTATGTGTACACCACAGTTTGTTTATCCATTCATCCATCAATGAACACTTGGCTTGCATCTACCTTTTGACTGTTGTGAATGGGCTGCTGTGAACATGGGTGTGCAAATACCTGTTTTGAGTCCTTGCTTTCAGTTATTCTGGGTATATACCCAGAAGTGAAATTGTTGGATCATATATGGTAATATTGACTTTACTTTTAATACATTTTATTTATGTTCTCATGACATTTGTTTTTATAATCCAGTTAACAGAGTTTTATAATCTGGTTAATGGAGTTGATCATATAAACAATAAAAAAAGTAGGCAAAGACAATAAAAGAATATTTTTTTAACTTTTTTATTTTGAAATAATTTTAGATTTACAGAACACTTGCAAATATAGTAAGGAGAGTTCCTATGTATACCCATCACCCAGCTTACCCCAATGTTAACATCTTACGTAATCATAGTACAATTATTGAAACCAGGAAATTTGCATTGATACAAATTCATTCACTGATCTGTAGATCTTATTTAAATTTTGACAGTTTTCTCTCTAGCAACCTTTTTCTCTAGTCCAGGATTCAGCCTAGGATCACATATTGCATTAGTTGTCATGTCGTTTTAGCCTCTTTCAGTCTCCAGTTCCTCAGTCTTTTTTTTTTTTTTTTTTTTGGTCTTTCATGATCTTGACACTTTTGATGAGTACTGTAGAATGTTCCTCAATTAGGGTTTGTCTATAGTTCTGTCATAATTATCCTGCAAGGTTTCTCCACTATAAATCTACTAGTTTATTTTTTTCCTTTGTAATTAATATGTATCTTGTGGGGAGATATTTTGAGACTATACAAAGGTCCTGTTTCTCATCATACTGTCTCCCACTAATTTTAGTATCCATCAAGGGTTCTTGTCTTCAATAATAATTCTGTGACATTTGCTTATTGGTGACTTTTCCCATCATTCCTTCTGATGTTTAGTGTTTGGAATTCTGTTGTATGGAAGAGCAGTCCCTTCTCTCACACTTACTTATTGATTCAGTTATTTTTATATGTCAGTATGGACTCATGGATGTTTATCTTAGTCTATGGGCTATGATACAGTAATATCATTTCATTTATTGCTCAAATTGTTCCAGCTCGGGCCCTTAGCTCCTTCAGGGTTGTTCCTGTGTTCTTTCTGCATGCTCCCATATGTTTTTGTTTGTTTGTTTGTTTTTGAGCACTTTCTTATTTTCTGGCACCAAGATGTTTTAGGCTCATTTTGTAGGTTTTCTAGCCTAGCCTTAAAATCATGTATTTCTCCCTGGTTCCTTCCATTGGAGAATGATATTTAGAAACCAAGATTTGGGCATTAGATGTGCTCATTGCTACCAAGGTGTCATTATTTCTGGACTTAAAGAACAATATATATATATATATAAATATTGTTTTTTAATTAATTAATTTATTTTTAAACATCTTATTGGGGAATTGGGAAGGGGAACAGACAAGTTGCTATTCTTTGTTCTTCAGTCTAGTTGTGGAGGATGTCGCTTTGCTGGCCCATGTTGGTATTATCATTGTGCTCTTCCCAGATGAGGCAGTCACTCACCAGCCATTGGACGGCCGCTCACAGCAGCTCATGAAACCTCATGCCAGCTGCTGGCTAGCCCCACTGCAGCCTACGCCGTCGCTGGCAACTCAATGGCAGCCCAGCTCCAGGTCGAGCTGTTATTCACCATCTTAGCTGTAGAGGGTGCAGCATCACTGGCCCTCATGTGGGATCCGAACTGGGGCCCTGCTGCTCAGAGCTGGCGTCCCAAGCCAACTCCTAACCAACGTGCCACTTGGCCAGCCCGCCACCCCCTTATCTTGGCCCTTCCTGATTTGCCTCCACCAGCCTCTCCTGATCTGGTGCTTCTCCTCTGCCAGCTTCTCGAGGATCTGCTATGTCTGAAG